ATTCCTTTAAAATACCTCTAAAATTCCTTTAAAATTCCTCTAAAATTCCTTTAAAATACCTCTAAAATCCCTTTAAAATGCCTCTAAAATTCCTTAAAAATGCCTCTAAAAATTCTTTAAAAAAGAGCGCTCAGGCCTTGGAAGTGCCCAGGGAGGTTTGCAGTGCCCATCCCTGGAGGTGCCCCAGGAATTGCTGGAGGTGACACTCGGAGCTCTGGGCTGGGGACAAGCCCAAGCACAGACAGGTGACCTTGGAGGGATCCCTCATCCCTGGCCTCTCCTGGCCAGGAGCACGATCCATGTGCTTTTCCCTGCTCCTTCCCTCAGTTTTCACTTCCCCAGCCACAACATTTGTGTCTCTGCCTCTGAATCTTCCTGTTATAAATTTGTATTGTGATATTGGCTTTCACAGATGAATATATATATTAAATACTTTTTAGCTATGCTAACAAGTCTTAAGTTTTAAAGAATTTCCTGGGTACAAGGCAAGGAAACCCCAGAGGGAAGGACAGTGGGGCCCAAGTTGTTATCAGGAGAACAATAGAGCCCAAACTGTTATCAGTGGAAGATATGAAGACCAGCTGCCCTCAGGGGAAGGATGAGGGGCCCAGGCTGTTATCAACAAGTGACCATCTGCAGCAAAAAGGAAACCAAACTCCAAAATAATGCTGACCAGCTAGAATAATGATGACCAGCAAAAATTATGCTGACCAGCAGAAAATAAAATTGTAAAAAAACATGATCCAAGAAGGTGGAACCAGGGAGGGGACATGCTTGAATATGCATCAACCTCTCACAGCAAGGATGGGATAAAAGGAGTGTTCCTGAGATACCAGGTGTGTTCCTGGCAACCTGGGTTTTAACCCTTTGCTTTATTTCTTTTGTCTCCTAATTGTCTTTTGTTTATATTAAATTCTTTTTATAATTTATTAAGTGAATCTCGTTTTTAAGATTCCCAAAGAGACATTCCAGGATGTGACACTGGCCAAGGAGCTCCAGCCCATCCTGGGTCACTCTGGAATGCTGCCTTTGGAATTCCCTGTGCTGATAATCACTGTTAGCACTGACAGTGCCCCCTGGGGAATCCAAACAACCCAGGTGGGCAATTACCTTATTTTAAACTTAATTAAAAAATGATCCACGCAGGGGGAAAAGTTTGAATGTGATGGGAGGATTAATTTCAGTAAAAACTCCTGGAACTGTGCTCAGAGCAGGGATTGGTGCCTCCAACGAGAGTCAGAGCTGAATTGCTGAGAAATCAGGAATTCCAGGACCTGGAATTAAGGAGGAAAGGCTGGGAGAGCTGGGAATGCTCACCTGGAGAAGGGAAGGATCCAGGGAGAGCTGGGAATGCTCAGCTGGAGAGGAGAAGGATCCAGGGAGAGCTCAGAGCCCCTGGCAGGGCCTGAAGGGGCTCCAGGAGAGCTGGAGAGGGACTGGGGACAAGGGATGGAGGGACAGGAGCCAGGGAATGGCTCCCAGTGCCAGAGGGCAGGGATGGATGGGAGATTGGGAATTGGGATTTGGGAATTCCTGGCTGGGCTGGGATTCCCAGAGCAGCTCTGGATGCCCTCGCAGGGATCAGCACAAAGTGGCTGTTGTGCTGAAAAAAGCCATTCCAGGCTTTTAGAGTTCTTTCCTTTACAAGAAATTCCGCTCTCAGGATTGATCCCATGTCACACCAACACCACGAAATTGAGTTTAATTATCACCCTGCTAAATTGCAGCCACGTTCAGGAGTGTCTGCTCCCATCTCTGGCTCTGCCGTGGATTTATGTGAGAGCAAAGAAAGAAAAAAAGAAAGGAAAGAAAAGCTGGGAATTGCTGCTTTTATGGGCACGAAGCTTAAGCGAACCCAAAATTAAAGCGATGAGCTTATCATGGCTTCCAATTAATGGCCTTAGCAGCTGAAATGACACATTTGTAAGTGAGTTAAATATCACCAGGCTTCCTTTTGCCTCTGCCCTCGGCAGCCTGGTGTTTTCCATCGGCTCACAGACAGCGATTCCTGCAGCATTTAATGGAGCTGGGAGCAGAAGCACAATAAAAGTGGAGCCAGGAGCGAGCTGAGAAGTGAGGAGGGGGGTAATGGGTGGTTTAATGCTGTTAAATTCCTCATGCTCAACGCTGGCAGCTCTCTGCTTTTGCCAAGGAGAAGTTTTAAGTGTGTCAGAAATGCAAATCATATTATTGGCTTTTCACAAACATGATAATGAATGTTATATGTAGAAGATTAGAAAATTTTGTTGTATTAATATAGTTTCCTTTATTTCTGTTCTTGATAAAACTTAGAAATAGTGGTATAATATAATATAAGACATATATATGTTAGGCTGTAACATGATATTAAAGCACCAACTACTTTTTGTTTATATAACCCAGAGACTAAAAGAAAAAAATAATAGTCAGAGACCCCCCTGCATCCTAAGTCTGTCTTGTGGAGATGGAGACAAGCAGTTCTCTGAGCCCTGCAAAGGATCCCAGCCCTGGGAGAAGGAAATTTGGGATCCTGCCTGGGCTGGGAAGCTTTGTTGGTGTCTGTGGCCTCTTCTGGGGCTGCCCCTGGATGGGAGATTAGGAATTGGGAATTGCTGGCTGGGCTGGAATTGCCAGAGCAGCTGTGGCTGCCCCTGGATCCCTGGCAGTGCCCAAGGCCAGGCTGGACACTGGGGCTGGACATTGGGACACTGGGAGGTGTCAGGATCTGAAATGCATCCCTGACCCTTCTTAAAAAGCCACAAAAATTATCTGCTCATATTTGTCCATTTTTTCCCCCTCCCCACCCCGTTCAATCCCGAGTTTTGTGTCTTTATTCTGTTTTTTTACAGGAATCACAGCCTGGAAATGCTCGAGGCACGTGAAGAAGCAGCTCTGGGTGAAGCTTCCTTTGGAATCGTCCACGGAGGGGATTTAATTCACCAAGGAAGGGATAAAATAATCGTGGAATCGTTCCCTGCTGCTGCTGAGCTCAGGGAAAAGCTGGAGCCCGGGAGATGCGATCCTGGCACGGAATACGCATGAGGAAAAGGAGGAATTGTGGAATTTTGGTGGATATCTTTCCCAAGGAGATGGGGAGGCTCAGGCAAAGGTTCCCAGAGCAGCTGTAGCTGTCCCTGGATCCCAGGCTGGACACTGGGAGCTGTTCCTGCACATCCAGAGCTGGGATTGGGATTTAAGATCCCTTTAACCCAAACCATCCCAGGAAAATCCCTGTGAATGAAACCCACTGCAATTCCCGAGGGTACTGAGCCTGTTTTCATGGTGATACATGAGAACAAATGTTAAAGTCAGATAGGAAAAGCTAAAAGTGTGAGTGTGTAGATTAGAGAGTTTTCTTGAATCCCTGTGTGGAAAAGGTCAGTTTAGAGAACAGAGACAAGGTGGAGGATTTGGGGTGTTGTCTCTTGTCCTTCTTCTTTCTTCTTCATGTTCTTCTCCTGGAGGTTTTTGGGTGACAGTGAGTGACTGGACAGAGAATGCCACAGGGCAGCACAGAGGTGATGGGTCATTGGCTCATTAAGAAAAATAATATACCTGTCTGTTGTTAATTGGGTAACAATAGGTATAAAGATAAAAGAACTGCGTATTTCGGGGCCATTCTGTGCATCAGACACAAAGTGTGCCACAAGGCCTTGTCTGTACCATCAGAAGAAGGAAATGTGCCAAATTGCAAAGATTAACCTTGTGTAGCCAGCCTGGAGAGACCTGTTAAGTTTTGTGTTGACCTGTTAATAAACACGAGAAACAAGATTCTAACGAGCTCGAGAGAATCAGAAGTACTGAGATAAGCAGAGCCCCCCAGGAGGGAGGATCCCAAAAGAATTCAGTCCAAAGGAGGCTGAGAAATCAAAGAATATAAAGAAAAATACAGAAGAGATATATAAATATATAAATATATATTATATAAATATATAAATAATATATATAAATAAATATATAAATTATTATATATTTAGTATATAAAATTATATATATTAAATTATTATATATAATAATATATTATATGTAATGATAATATAATAGTATATTATTCTTATATTATTCTTAAATATATACCTTATTATATAAATATATATAAATATTTATATAATATATATAAATAGCAGAAACAGAGAAACAGAAAAAGGATTTTTTAGAGAAAAGTTACAGGTACAAATGTGGGAAGCTGGGATCCAGCAGAGCTCCTGGAGCAGCTTGAGCCGGGCTCAGCAGTTTAAGCTTTGCTGAGCTGGGTCTCACAGATCCGGGCTGGTGCAGAATCTCATCGCACTAAAGCTGATTGATAAGAAATCAATTGTAATAAATTAAATATAATAAATTAAATATAATAAATTAAATATAAGAAATTAAATATAAGAAATTAAATAAGAAATTAAAAATATTTTAGAATCTTTCAGCTGTTGCCATCGGCTCCATATTGTGAAAAAAGTAAAAAATCTGCCAAACTCTTCCTTGGTTTGGAAAGTAAAGTTAAATAAAGAAGGGAAACAAGCGGCCTCATTTACAGCTCGTTTGCGAGGATCAAGATCTAATTAAGCACTTTAACTGGCGGGACACTGAGGTGTGAAGTTTATTGAGCACTTGGTTAACTATTCAATTAGTCTGGGTGTTTTGCGAGCTGGTATAATTCTAATTCATGGCAGGATCAATGGCTTGATTTAGAAGAAAATATAACATAAAACTCTGATTCCGAGAGCGGTGGAAGGTTAGTAATTATCCCAAATTGATTTTGTTACCATAATCATTACCGATATTCTTCTAACCAGGTAAATACTGCTGGAGCTCTGAAGAGACTTCAGGATTTGCCATTAAAATCAGCTTTGCTTCCTCAGATTATTATTTTCAGCGGTAATTGATAAGGTTAATTAAAATTGGCTTAAATATCAAAGGGCGATTCCTTTGGGAACACCAACCGTGTGTTGCATGGCAGGGACACTTCCCACTGTCCCAGGGAGCTCCAGCCTGGCCTCAAACCCTTCCAGGGACACAGGATGGGGGAAAAGGACCTGGGATAACGGGGAAACTCCTGCCTGGGAGATCAGGAATCATCTCCAGGTGCTCTGGGAGCTCATCCGTGTGTTCCCAGCTGGGGAAACTGAGGCACGAGGGCTGCCAGGGCCTTGGGACAGGGCTCTGGAAGGGCTGGGATCCTGCTCCCTTTTCCCAGCTGCTCTTCCCTGGCTGTCCCAGATCCCTGTCACCAGGTCAGCCTGGAGGGGGATCTGGGAAAGCACTGGAGCTGAAGGGTTCCTTTAAGGAAAAATCCTGTATGATTCTGCTGTTTCTCCAGGAGAAGGCTGAAATGAAGGGCAGCAGAGATTTGGGAAATAATCCCCTTCTCCACGGAAGCTGCCGTGATGCTTCCCGTGCCATAACAAATCCGTGAGGATTAAAAACCCCTGTCACTCGTGTCAAACCTCCTGCCAGCACTGGATTCACCCCTGCAGCTTAGCTGGGACGGGGGCTGAGCCTGATGGGCACACATCCATGGCCAGGGATGCTCCCTGGAGCAGCACCCAGCCCTGCCCGGGAGCTGGAACCGCCTGTGGGGGCAACCCGGGGGTTTCCACCTGTTCTGGCACCGAGGAATAAATGTGGATACCTGAGGAGAGCAGGAGATGGGATCTCAGGGAAAGGTTCTTCCCCCAGAGGGTGGAATGAGCTCTGGAAAAGCTCCCCAGGGAATGGGCACGGCCCCGAGGCTGCCGGAGCTCCAGGAGCGTTTGGGCAGCGCTGCCAGGGATGCCCAGGCTGGGATTGTTGGGGGGGCTGGGATGATCCCTGAGGGTCCCAGCTCAGGATATTCTGGGGTTCTGTGATTGCCTCACTCCGTGGAGGAAATCGAGTGGATTTCCAAAGCATCCATTGCTGTTGATTTCTGGGATTAAATCAGCTCTGGATTGTCCTTGTTCTGTTCCTGTGGATTTCATCCCTCCCTGGCAGGGTGGGCAGGCCCTGGCACAGAATTCCCAGATTTGCTGTGGCTGCCCCTGGATCCCTGGCAGTGCCCAAGGCCAGGCTGGACATTGGGGCAGTGGGAGGTGTCCCTGCACATCCAGGGGTGACACTGGGTGGGATTTGAGGTCCCTCTGGGGAATTCACCAAGGCTCAGATACCCCTGTGTGCCAGGGGAGGTGGAAGCAGATGAATTCCCAGTGCCACTGTGCTGGAAATCCTCCCTTTGCTCCTCAGAGCTCAGCAGAGCCACAGAGCTGCCACTGAAGCCAGGACCCGTCAGATGGGGCAGATTTAGGTTCGTACCTGGATTAAATATAAAAAAAATAAATATATAAATAAAAACCTGGATGGAATATTAATTTTTGCCACAGAGCCCACATTCCTGACTCCATCCTGAGGGCTGGAATCCAGGACTGATCCAGCTGTGCCCTTCTCCTGCAGGTCAGGAACAGAGCAGTGACTCCAAACAGGTTTGGATCCCTCCCTTTGATGGCTCTGGCACTTCCCAGGTGATGGAGAGCTTTCCCATGGATTTCTGCTAAGGACAAGATGAGAACATTTAAAAGCCTGGTGAGGAAGAGCCCGGCAGCAATCCCGGAGCTGGCTGGGGAGGAAGGAGCCAGCAGAGCTGGGAGTGATTGGCAGCACACGGATCAACAAAGGAGCTCGGAATCACGATGCACGGAGGCTTTTCCCTCTGTTGACTGTGGTTTGCTGTCAATCTCTTGCTCTTCCTGAGGCTGGGAAGAGACTCCAGGCGTTCTCTCCATGGGATCTGTCTGTCCTCAGCAGCTTTTGTAACCCGAGGATTGTGTTGGGTTGGTTTGATCCCGCACTTGAAAGCCATCCTGTGATATCCTAAAGTTCTGAATATCCATAAATTAATGAGAGTGGGAAATAGGAGAACTTCCAGCTCACAGCTCCTCTCTGCGTGTTTCAGTCCTTTCATTTAACTGGGTGAGGTAAAATTCACATTATAATTACAGCTGCATGAGAGAAAACTCTGAAAGAGCTTTCCTTGAGCTTCCCCAAATAAATCCCAGGGCAGGGTTTGGAACTGGATGGGCTTCGCTGTCCCTTTCACCCCAAACCCTTCTGTAACTCCATCAAAACGGAATAATTTCTGCTTTTCTTTTGGATATGAAGAACTTCTTAAGAAAATTACCTGTACTGCTGGAGGAGATAGTTTTGGGTGTTGTCTGAGATGACTTTACTTAAATCAAATCCAAAATCATTAACAGAGGATCACACATGGTAAACTCTGCAAACACGTTGGGATAAAAAGAAGAAAGGAGTCCTGGATCCGCTCCCAAGGAAACACAGTGCATTGTTGAGTATAAAGTTACAGCTCAGGCTTCAGCAGTTTATTTTATTTTATTTTATTTTATTTTATTTTATTTTATTTTATTTTACTTTATTTTATTTTACTTTATTTTATTTTACTTTATTTTATTTTACTTTATTTTACTTTACTTTATTTTACTTTACTTTATTTTACTTTATTTTATTTTACTTTATTTTATTTTACTTTATTTTATTTTACTTTATTTTATTCTACTTTATTTTCTACTTTATTTTATTTTACTTTATTTTATTTTATTTTATTTTATTTTATTTATTTTATTTTATTTTAATTTCATTCTAATTTCTTTTATTTTAATTTCATTTTATTTGAATTTATTTGAATTTATTTGAATTTATTTTATTTGAATTTATTTTATTTGAATTTATTTGAATTTATATTATTTTATTTTATTAATGTTTTATTTTTAATTTTTTTCTAAATTTTTTAATATTTTTAATTTAATTTTTATTTTTAGATCTTTTTTCTAAAATTTGTTTTTTAATTTTATTTTTATATATTTATTTTATTTTTATTTTAATTATATTTTATTTTCTTTTTATTTTCTTTTTATTTTATTATTTTCTTTTTATTTTCTTTTTATTTTCTTTTTATTTTCTTTTTATTTTCTTTTTATTTTATTTTTTATTATTATTTTATTTTTATATTTTATTTTATTTTACTTTACTTTCCCTTGAGCAGTTACTCTGACAGCTCATTTAGTGCATCCAAAAGCTTTTAGCAAAGCAGGGTCTGTCAGAAAGGTAAAAATCCCAGGGAATGACTCCCAGGGTGCTCGGACACCTCCTGCTCCAGTGGTTCCATGGAATCCCAGAGTGGTTAGTGTTGGAAGGGATCTCAAATCCCACCCCAGGCAGGGACAGCTCTACTGCCCCAATGGCCTTGGACATTCCCAGGGATCCAGGGGCATCCACAGCTTCTCTGGACATTTCATTTATTAATAAATATAAAACTCAGCTCTTTGGGAGAGGGGAATTCCCTTCTCCCTGAGCCGTGCTGGGGTGGTCGTGCCATGGGAACCTTTCCCTGCTTGGCAGCTCCGTGATGGGGATCGGCCCCATCGCTCCAGCTGGGCACCAGCAACTGGGAATTGGGAATTGCTGGCTGGGCTGGAATTGCCAGAGCAGCTGTGGCTGCCCCTGCATCCCTGGCAGTGCCCCAGGCCAGGCTGGACATTGGGGCTGGACATTGGGACAGTGGGAGCTGTTCCTGCACATCCAGGGGTGGCACTGGGTGAGTTTTAACATCCTTTCCATCCCAAACCGTTCCCTGACTCTGGGATTTGTGGATACAGCTTTAGCTCTCTCAGGTTTTTAAGGATGTGTGGCCATCAGTTCCTTTGGCTGCTGAGATGAGGAGCAGCTGGACTCCAAAGAGTAAATCCACGGATCTCTCTGCTGCTGGTAGGAAACACTTTAAGGGAGAGGAATAACCTGTATGGGGGAAATCAACCTCCTCTGATCCTGAAAATGCCTCTCTTGTTTTCCTTTGAGCTCCACAAAACCCGTGGAACTGTCACTGCTGCAGTTACTGCTCTTTTTCTCTTCTTTTTTTGATCTGTGACATGAATTAATGCTGACACACGTGGCTTTGGAATTTTGCTTTTCCACTCACAGTACATGCAAACAGTGAGCTGTGGCTTCTGCCTGTGATTTCAATGACTGATTAAAAAAATTGCTTGCAAAGGATAGCCTGGGAAGATGCAGCCCTGACTTCAGACACATCAAATAGGAAGCCTTGTTCTCTTTAGTGGAGGAACACTTTATTCTGACCCTTGTGGCTTTGTCACTGTTTCAGGGCTTTTTAATTGAAAAATAAATACATTCTGTCTCTGCACTCAAAACCTTCCCCTCACTTTCCTGGGAAGTTTTTCTTCTTTCTGAGGAATCTGACAGCTGAAGATTTTTTGGAAGCAAATCCAAAGCCTCGTGCTCTCTTGCTGGCAATAACCTCCTGAAGTGCTGGGAACAGTAGGGGGTGGAATTAATAATTCCCTTCCATCCTGCCCTTCCGAGGGGAGGCCAGGGAGCTGGAGCCCCTTTGTTTTAGCCCTTGCATTCGGTGGTTGGGCATCAAAGCAGAACCTGAGAGAACTTTCCCCACATTGTTCAGCGTTAATTGCTTTCTGGTCTGCCCTGGGGAGGGAAGAGATGAAATCCTGGGGAATGGTTGGCAATAAATCCCGCTCCTCACAGGGCTGGGGAGCGGGGCCTGATGTGCTCCCCTCGTGTTCCTTCCCTCCCCAGGGTGGAGAGACAATTCCCAGCCTTCCTGGCTTGCCCAGGAGCCCCTCAGCCCATCTGGCTGGTGAATTCTTGCTTTGGGGAGCTTGGATTCCTCCGGGTCCAGACAAAACTCCTGGGATCTCAGCTGGGATTTCCGTGTTTCTCTGCGGTTCAGCAGCAGCACTGGGGAGGTGAAGGTGCTGGGGCAGCTCAGGGCAGTGCTGCAGCTCCTCCTCAGATGTTTCCTCCTCCAGCAAGGGGCTGATTCCATGTTTCTTCCAGAGGCTGAGTCCAGGAGCCCTTCATCCCTCAAAATCATCAAGGTTGGAAGGGACCTTCGAGATGACTGAGTCCCACCATTAAAGCAGAGCCACCCCTCAGCCACGTCCCCAGTGCCACCTCCAGTGCTCCTTCAACACCTCTGGAGTGGAACAAGATGGGCTTTAAGGTCCCTTCCCAGGCTGTTCCATGATTCCATGGGGAAATTCCTGCTGCTGTCCCCCCTGAGCCTCCCCTGGCCCAGCCTGAGGCCGTTCCCTCTGCTCCTGTCCCTGTTCCCTGGCAGCAGAGCCCGACCCCCCCGGCTGTCCCCTCCTGCCAGGGATTGTGCAGAGCCACAAGATCCTCATTAGTGGGGTGGTGGCACCAGTGAGGGACCCCAGCCTCACCCCACCGCCTGTTTTGTGGGAATTCCATGTCCTTGGGGTGGAAGGGACCATCTGGGGTGACCCAGTGTGGGGAATTCCATGTCCTTGGGGTGGAAGGGACCATCTGGGGTGACCCAGCGTGGGGGGATTTAAGGTCCCTTCCAACCCAAACCATTCCAGGATTCCATAAGGGGTGACTCTTGGGGAATCATGGACTCATCACACAATCCCAGTGTGGTCTGGGGTGGAAGGGCCCATGAATTTCCAAGCCTTTCCCAGGGCCACCTCCCCATATCCAAGAGCTCCTCAGACATTCCCTGCTCAAATCCCCGTCTGTCACTAAAGCTGGGATCCCTGGGGCTGTGGGGAAAGCGTTCCCTGCCTCCCCTGCAGCTCCCACAGAGCCACTCTTTTGTTATTCATTAAATGTCTAAATAAATAATGCACCGCTGTGCTGCTCAGGAGCCTTTTTCTCTTCTTCATTTGGCTATGAAAAGTTGGAAAATTAAAAAGTTTCGCACCCTCACTGGATATTTAATCCTCTTTCCAAGCCTGTGTACAGGTTTCTTACCTTAAGGCTTCATGATTACCATGCCCCGCTCCCATCCCGGGTTTTTTGTTGGAGAAGGTTCTGGATGTTATCAGAAAACACCTTCTCTAATTTTAGTATGCAAAATTCTAATTACAGTATGAATTTTTTATTTCTTAATTCTTTACAGTTTTTACTCCCCCTCTGGGTACCGAAACATAATTAATTCTCCTTTACTTTTTTATTTTTTTTTTCCTAATAGATTTGTGTGTATTATCATATATATTAAATTTTCAGTTCTGTAACTTTTTTTTTATTATTTTTTATTGCTTCCCACACTGACAATGTTCACTTCATTAAAGGCATGTAATCCCTGAGCTGTGATCAAGACATAATTGCACTTTTTTGGGGTATTATAATGACACAGATGTTTTTCTTATTTTATTACTGAAACCTCTGTTATTCTTCCATGATTTTGAGTGACCCCCTCAACGTGTAAGGGGATTCCAGGGTGGAATTCTGGCTCCAGGGCTCAGTTTCCATGGAATGGAATGCTTGTACTCCCAGAAAATAATAAAATGTTGCTTTTTGCCCCCTCAGTTCCCTTCCAGCATTCACAGAACCCCGGAATGGTTTGGGTTGGGAGGGATTTTAGGGATTAAGAAAAGGCAGGATCCACCATCCCTGGTTGTTCCAAGCCCCATCCAACCTGCCCTCGGACACTTCCAGGGATCCAGGGGCAGCCACAGCTGCTCTGGACAAAGAACAAATCGTGGGTGTGGGCGTGAGTTTGTTTTAGTTTTGTATAAACAGATTTAATTGTTGCCTTTGGAGCATCCAGGGTGAGGATGGAACTCAGCCCTGTGGGAATTTTGATACATAATTAAGAAATCCTACAGGAATCCTCCAGAACCATCAGCCCCACTATTCATAACTCGTGGAAGAATTGAAGAAACATGGAAAATGAGTCTCCAGGTAAATTCATCCCAGTTTTTGATGTCTAAAACAAATTTCATCCTTACCTTGACTTCTGGTGGAGTTCCTGCAGGAAGAGGTGGCCCAGCCAAACGTTCCCAGACATTTCCTTCTGAAAGGAACAGTTTGTCTGAAATGAAACCTAATGAAACTCTGTCTGAAATTAATTCTATTTACACTTCAGTAGGTGGGCTGGGAGATTCTGCACCAGCAGATCTCCCCAGATAATTGTTGAAGAGCCATCCAGAAGTTTCCAGAGCACTGTGTTCACCCCTTTTTTCCCCTCCTTTCCACATGGATGAGATC